CATTTTTATTGAAATTATTTTTTTTTTGGAGAATCGTTGTAAGAAGTACTGAGTAACTGTTGTATATCAATAAGCTATGGTTGACGACCTTCTGAAGAAAGGTAAGTGTTTCTGCAATTTAATTTAAAGTTTTCTCTATCGGGCATCAAAACAAAAAAAAATTATAAAAAAATAAATTTCATGTTTAGTAAAAGCTAAAAATTTTAAACTATAAGTAATTGCATATTAGATACATCAAGAAATTTTTAATTACTTTATTTCACTGATATTTGCTTACTTTTCGCAGTAATCGTACTTTCTGCATACATTTCAACTTTAACAGATCAGATTTTTGTATTAATTAACATAATTAACATGCTATAAATCTTTAAATAACTTTAAATATTTACGAAGCTAGAACTAGAATAATCACTCTTAAGATATAATTCGAAAAATTAATACGTTGTTCTCTGAACCAGTAGTGAAAAGGTATAAACTTTTATTTCATCTTTGGAAATAAATATACAGAGTAAATATGTAATAGTTATTTACCGCGACATCAGAGATATCATCTAAAATCACGGCTCCCCCGTGATCCCTGCCTGTGATATCGGTAAATAACTAATATATTTCATGGTTACTATTCGTTAACAATTACTTTTTAAAAAAAAATTTTTTTTTCTTCCTCAAATTTAAAACCTAAAGTATCTAAAAATAGTGAAATTAAAAAAGAAGAGTACGCTCTTATAAAACGGAATATTTCTCGTACTGCCCAAAAAAGTTTTTTTGATTCATTTTACCAAAATAAAAAAATCAAAACGAGAAACAATCGGCATGATCATCAAGAATTTAACGAAATTTAGAAAGGAAATGCTACAGCAAATGTTCAGTTTTTTATGGTTCCGTAATCTGATTTTATAGCTTAGCTCCCATATATTCCCACTTTATGAACGCTCAGTATTTTGCATATGAAATTAAAATATTTTATGATCATATTTGTAAATTCAATACTGGTACGACATTCGTATGAAATTATTTTTTTTTAAATTATTTTTTAAAAATTTATTTTCAACAGATTTAATAATCGAGACAAATTGTAATTTTTATTTTTTTCTAAAAAGACATTTCGTTTAACACTTTTACATGTATTAAAATAATTATAATATTCTATTTAATTTGACGAACTAAACAGTTCTAAAATAATATTCACTTTACAGAATAATGAAATGAATTCGAACTGGATTAAATTATGTGTTTTAAGGTCAAATGTTATTTTTCATTTTGTACACATTTTTCACTTTCTAACGCAATTTTCTTATTCTATTTTTTATATTTGTAAATATTGTTATGTAATATCGTTACAAAGCTCAAAAGTTGGGAATTTTCAATAGTTTAATTAGTTAATTTTTCACAAATATTAAACAACGAGCATAAAAAACAGAGCAAGAATATGTTTATGTCAAATTATGTTCAATAAGATAAATATGTGGGCTATTATGTTTACCCAGAAAAAAATTTCATTGCGTTTACGACGCACGATAACATTTGATAAAATGTATACAACCTATAAATTTAATATCACGAGATTCAAATTTTTCATTCAAAATAACATCATAAGTGAATCACTACTATTTATATTCAAATTATTATCGTACTTTCAGCATTTCTCCCTGGCTACTTAATATGTTTTGGAGAATCGTTAATTGCACACAAGAAATGCAATTGTGCATTTTCAATAAACAACTGGGCATGCGCTCGAAATATCACAAGTTATTCCAAACATTCCTACCCACCATGAATTTTGGTTGCTTAGCAAGCCCAGAACAAACAAAAGAAATGCTACTATTATACCACAAGTGCAAAAAATGGTATGAATAAATTTATTACTGGTTACGAATTTTTCACCTTTCAAGTGACATAAAAGTGCCAAAATACTGTTGAATGACCATATGGAACACAACGTCGATAGATATTTACTGCGACAAAAAAATCCAACTGGGGGTGTGAAATAGGCTAGGAATACTGACGACCAAGGAACTACTATTGACATTAGAGCAGTGAATGCAACGCGCGCAAGTAGATTCGACTTAATATGCTCTTCTTTGAAATTGCTTAAGGATATCACGATCTCGATTGTCAATACTTTATTAGGATCCTTAACTACTAGATTTTTACGAATAGTTCTCCTAAATATTGCTGGTAATGTCCAACATAATGCTAACGGTATACTTGGCCAATCCTCATCACAGACAGTCGGTCCAGTCGCCCTAACAATTCCCGAAACGATGCCAACAATTATATAGTATAACGATGCCAACGACGCCATCCTTTCTAAAACGGATGATTTGGCGACACATTCATTCAAAAATTCCACCTGGCCCGCATCCATAGCATAAATCCCGAAAGGTCTATATTGAATTTCATCCCCATTATGTCTAAACCTATCTGATGGGAGCCAATAAATACATAATGATGTCACATCATGCTTTATGCAACAGGTGTAAAATAATCCCGTAAAGGGACAACCAAGACATCGCGTTAACCATAATAATTTGTCCGTAAAATCATCCCATGGCGCAGCTCCGATTGTTGCTATAGCCGGTAGGCAACCCAATACATATTGAGGTACAGGGTCTTGTAATTTACGTATGAATTTTAGCACCAACAATTCCTCTGTTGACATTTTGAAAGATATTAAGACCTTGAATATATGAAATTATTTGAAATTATGCAGTTTTATATATAAAGTTCTTTTCTTTCATAAATGATATATTTGTGATAATTGATAAATGCTAGATCTGAAACAATTTAGATCAATAATGACAAAATTAGTAAATCTACTTTTGATCAAATGTTGTCAAATGTTTCACAAGAAATGATACCCCGTTTGCCTAAATAAAAATAAAAAATAAAAAATTTAAGACCATAAATAATTTGATATTTTTTCTTAACGAACTATTATTCTGAAATTTATAACATTTTTTATAGCTAACCAATTTTATTTATTAAACATTTCTTAAGATTTAATGATTTATCATTCAGATTTATTTTCGTTAAAATTTTAAAGTATTCGTTAACCGGTTAAAAATTAATATAAATCTATTATAGCTATTTAAATTTACGGGACAGCCGATAATATCTGAGTATTTCTGACCTGACAAGGTATATTAGGACGATCATATATTTTTATGGGTAAAAAATTGTGTCGCTATACTCGGAACACTGTTCCGAACGTAGCGATAATGTTTTTTTCAAAAAAATTTAATAACTAGTTATTTGTTATGATGCAAATTATAGTGATTATACCTTTTATCCCCATTCCAAATATACTTTCTTTATATTAATGAACTAGTTTACATTCAATATGTTCATTTCCCTTCAAAATAATTTTATTTTTTAGTCTAGGAACGTATTTTTTCGTAATTTTTTCATTTTTGTTTTTAAAAAAATCGGACTATCTATTCTATTATACGCCATAACGATAATGCTCAGGAAGTTAGTGTTTTTAATTACTTTTATTTTGGATTACTAATAGATTTAATTTGTTTTTGTTTCATTTCAATTAATATAGATTTGAGAGAGCACTCGATGTCTCGATATCAATCATAATTAGAACTTCAGATAAACAGTAATGTAACAGAGATCAATTTTTAATTATGACACACATTATAATTAAAAACTTTTTTTAAAATAAAACTTGATATCTATCTAATAAATGAAAAAAAAAAATTACCTCACTATACTTAATAATTAAAATAAAATAATTTTTTTAATAAATAGAGTCATTTACAATTTCTCACACTTCAACAAAATGAATTTATTAAAATGATTTGATTAAAAAAATTTCTTTGTTATAAATAAAACCATAACGGAGAAATAAGTGTGTGCGGAACATTACACGCATATACAGCTTTAGATATTACGTTACTCGTCGTAATTAACCATTGAAAGAATGTAATTCATCTGTAGTAGGAGGTATTATAATAACTTCAAAGTCGATATATTGTTAAAAAAAACCTTTAACGTCTCGATTTTGGTACACGTTACATAAAACATTTAACACTATAAATGGAGAATTTATAATGGGAAGGTGACACAATAGAAACTACAACCCGAATCAAGGGATTGTAAGTTTCACAATAGAAAGGATTTTTACGTTTGATTCAAATCGTTAGGATTTGAATCGAGGCGATCTTAGAACGTTCGGATTTAACACGCAAAAAAATGTAGCTTTACGAATTGTAAAAATAAATAAATTAACAAATTGACAGAATCCTTTGATCACGGGAAGTTTTTCGTAAAGCGTTAAGGTCGTTTCCATTTAGAAAAAGCAAGCAGGTACTACGAGATCGTTATTTGTTTTATTTTTGAAACATCGAGTCTTAGGATTAGAAATCTTAACTAATTAAGGAATAATTAATTATCGAATTTAAGGTTATCTTGCATTTACGTACAATACTAAATAATTGTTCATGATTGGAGATTTTGAATTTTATCACTATAAATCGTTGTACATATTTTCTATATATATCACAATTAAATAATAGTCGCTCGTACAACTCGATTTATTATAAATACAACACCAATTTTTCTCATCAAATAACAATTCAAAATACCAATAACTGGTAAAACAAAAACAATTAAATTTCAAAATGAATCCAACCGCTAAAACAGTTAACCCAGTTGTCATAATTACCTCTGAATTTACAAAAAAAACCAATCCTACAAATCAACGCTTAATAATGTAATTGTTATATACGTTATTTCAAAATACTAAAAACAAAACAAACTATTGCCTGCTTAAAAAAAATGGCCTGGCGCTGTACAGCAATTTCAAGCTCTCAAATGACCCTCTCGTTATCAATTTTTTACTTCGAATGGAACGGGCTTGTTGAAAATTATCTTAGAACCATTTATCAATTATTTATTAAGACCAAATTACAAGTTTAAATTAAATTTTTGTATATTTTTTGTTTAATTCATTTATTCTTTTCATATATTAATAAAAATTTAAGTTTACTTTATTTTAAAATTTATTTTCATCTCATCTCAATATTATGTCGCTGTTCTGTGAAAAAAACAATAATAAAATTAATTAGCGAACACAACTGAATTTTACGGATAATATTAATGCCGAAAATCAAATTTGCCAGACCATTTTTTATAAAATTTATTTTAAATTTATTTAATAATTCTATGTTAAACTTGTTAAACTTCGAAAAATAATCCGGTTCTAAAATTCGTAGTTTTTTTTACTGGCATTATATTTTACTTTCTAATGATTATTTATTATTGGAATATTTATTAAAATAAATATAAATTCTGATCTTTCTTAAGTTAATCTTTGAAAGGCCACTTGCTGACTACCTATTGATTCATGCTGATATTTTGCTCTCATCCATGTCTGTAAAGTAGCTGGAGAATTAATATCAGGATTAGTAGCTATATATGGATCATTATTAGGAACTGATATATACATTCCTTCCAACTTAGATTTTAAAAGACTAAATTTAATTGTATCAGTAAAGTCCCCCATGTTAACATTTTCAAGTGCTATTATATTTGGCTCTAAATGTGATATAGAATTCCAAATTTTATCTAAGTACTCATCAGGAGATTTCTGCCCAGTATATTGTTCATGTTTAGCAAAAATAGTTGCTATTGTATTATATATCGGTTGACGTCTAGCTTCTGCCATATTTGGTAGGTTAATAAGCGGATTATTTTGTAGATTTAAAATAATTTGCTGGGAATTTATTTCTTGAGCTTTCCATTTTTGATATCGGTTAAATACCCAGGCTCTATTTAATTCTGTTAAGAAAGTCTCAGCTTTATGTCTTTGATTTATTAGTCGAAGGCCTACCTTTTCTTGCAATAATATATGGTTACGCCTTTCTGCTCTATGAGTCCTAAGCCATCATACATGACGCTCATTTGCTTTATTATTTAGAGCTTGTGTTAGTATTTGATTATCATTTTGTGACCTAGCTTGGACTTCTTACAATTGTTGTCCTAGAGTTCTGGCTCGTCAAATACTTTGTTCTACTACCATATTCTGATCTTGCCAAAACTGATGAATTGTACCAGTATAAGTAATAATATTAGCCAAACATGTACCTACTCTATCAAATTGTCCTTTTATATCATCTGGAAGTATAACCCTTACATTATTCAAATGTATCTGAATTCTTGCTAAAGAAGCTGAAGCTTCAAATTGTCTATCTAAAATAGCTTGCTTGTATTGTATACTCCATATATAATATTTCTTTATTATTTGAAACTTTTTTATGACTTAGATAAGTTATTTCATAAATACGGGTCTTAAGCTAATCAACCTTATCTTCTAGCCTCAAAATATGGATATCTTGTATAGTACTAGCATTACCTTTGTATCTTAAATCTTACAATGCTTTATAAAGATACTGTTTAAGTGATTTGATTTCAGTCTTAAGAGATGCTATCTCCTTTTCATGAATTAAGATTGTAGAGTCTTGTTGCGATATAGTTTTATAACATGCATCTAGCTTCTTGTTA